ATTATACCAGTTTTAATCCCAAAACACTGCACCTATGGGGTTAAATAATTTAGTTTTAATATAAGTAAAATCACTGTGCATTGCACTGGTTTAGTGAATATTCAGCAAAGAGGAAAGAAGACACTTGAATACCTTCCAAATAAATACTGAGGTGCATTCTGGGGCCATACAGAATGCATTATGTGAAATTATCATCCAAAAAGGATTAGATTATGAAGACCACAGTAAATCCAAATTAGGCAAAATCTATTCCACACTGGGCAAGATGAAAGTTGAAAAGATGGGAAAGAATGTCCTAAAAGATTCATTTTGTGAGTCTGGATTTCAAGGCAAATCAACAAAAGGATGGAGAGAGTTCATCACCAGCAATGGAAGATGCTCTTCATATTAAAATTTGTTCTAAGCTGTGATACTGCCAAGGGCTTCTTGGGTTTTGCTCACTAGAGAATAATCAAACAACAAAAAAAAAGACATCAGGAGAAAAATGCTACTAAAGCAACTTTGTATTTCAAAAGGCAGTTATAATTTTTAGGAGCTAAGTTGTACCACTGAACATGCAGATTTATATAAAATTTAGCACCTTGGAAAACCTTCATGTATAGGATGACAGCAGTGTGATCAGATGCTTGTGTAAATGATCAAACTAGCTTAAATGACAAAAAAAAATACAAAATATTGCATTTCACCTAATCCAGGGCTTTAGCAGTGTTTGGCAATTTTGATAGCCCTTTATACAGTGGATGGAGTAAGGAAATATGGACTAGATACATGCACTGTAAGCTGGTTTCAAAACTGTCTGAACTGCTGGGCTCAAACGGTTGTGATCAGGCACACAATGTACACCTGGAGGTCAGCCACTAGTGGTGTACTCCAGAGGCAATACTGGGACCAATACTGCCAGCATGGCAAAGGAAGTGATCCTTCCCCCTAGTCAGCTCTGGTGACACCATATGTGGAGTAACGGCTCCAGTCCTGAGCTCCCTAGTACATGACAGACACGCACATACTGATGTGAGTCCTGTGAAGGATCACAGAGGTTACTGATACAATGGCTGGAGCACCTCTTATATAAGGAGATGCTGAGAGAGTTGTGATTTTTTTAGCCTGTAAAAGAGAAGGCTCAGGGAGATCCTATATACATGTATAAATGCCTGAGAAGTAAAGAGGGAGCCACACTATTCTCTGTGATGCTCAGTGACAGGACAAGAAGCAATGGGCACAAACCTGAAACACATGAAATTCCATTTAAACATAAGAAAAAAACACCTTTACTTTGAGGTTGACTGAACACTTGAACAGGTTGTCAAAAGCAACTCCATCCTTGTGGATATTCAAACCCAACTGGAGAGGAGGCTCAGCAGCCCATTGTAGCTTACTGTGTTCTGAGTAGGGGCACTACACTACATGATCTCCACAGATGCCTTCCAATCTCAGCTGCCCTGGATTAACTTGGTGAAGGCAAACAAGGTCTTTTCCTTGTATACCATATAACTGTATATAATACATAATTGTATATCAAACTTTACTGACAGTAAAGCTTGGGCTGAATTTACAAATATGTGTGGGAGGCAGGGGGAGCCAAAAAGCCCTTCCTTACTACTGGTGTTGTAGGACCTGCTTACAATATGTAAAGTGATAATACAGTAAGCCAAATAACCAAAGTCTTTGCTGAGAAGTATACACACATATGTGCACACAGGCACATACACAATTTGTACTAAGCTGCAAAACTTCCTCTTGCAGGGAATAAATCATGTATTTCAGAGTCTCTTTCTCACAGATGACTTGCTTGGTGAGAAAATCATAGAATAGTCAGGGTTGGAAAGGACCTTAAGATCATCTAGTTTCAACACCCCTGCCATGGGCAGGGACAATCTAACGTGAATTTTGATACTGACCAGAAGGCAGATCTGTAACCAATTATTTATTGTACCACATTTATAAACCATAAACAATATTCTAGTCCCACCAATCATAGGCTTTCTTCTAAGGAAATGGGTTGTTCTCATGGAGCCATGCTGCTGATGGAGCTGATGTTATCCAAGTAGAAGCAGTCATCTTGAAATCCAAGGCCCAACACATGAAACGCTCCAAAAGTAAGGATCAAGGTCTCAAGCTCAACGATTTTTGAAGCAAGCCAGAGAGAGAAGGTCATATAAAAGAGTCAGGATGCTCATTTGGCAGCTAGTGTTACTGTGTTGCCACATTCTACACAAGCATGATTTTTACTGTGTCCCCAAAAAAGGGAAAGAAATGCTTTGGTAGGTTCATTTGTAAACTATCAACAGAAGATTTTGCCAGCTGGATTTCTTCTATTCATTTGGAATTTATCACAAACTTCAATTTATCAGATGCCTAGAAAAGCAACACAGGAGTATTTGACTAATGATGACCTGGTTTAGTACTCAACAACTTCTTCATAACATGACAGAGGAGTTTTCCTTAACAAATGGGACATCTGATATCCAAACAAAAAGTATTTCGAAGTCCCTTCAAAGTGGGTGAGTTTAAAAAAATAGTCTGTAACTCAGAGTTGCTCAATATTTAAACAGAGTAAATGAGTTAGATGTTCCCCTTTCAATGACAACATATAAGCTAGTTCTTGTAAGAAGTAATAGCTCACTAGATTATTCTCACTAACTACATTCGGTTTGCCACTGCTACGGCCCCTGTGAAATCACATGAACCTACGCTTGGAGCAGTAACTGGAGTAACTGGAGCCAATCAGTCCTAGTCTTTATAAGATACTGATTTCAAAAAGGAAAATGCTTCAGAAAGAAATCCTTCTTCCATCTCTGCATGTACAATACTAAACGTATGGCAATGATGAGAAAGGGACAGATATGCTGCAAAATTTCTGCAATATTTTGAGGTCATGTAGCAAAGAACAGGCATTTTCTTTCTCAAAATGTAAAATACCATGAGAATATACTTTAATAAGTGAAGCACATACATGCTTCTATACATAATAAGGACAAAAATGCTTGTTAATACATATTCTTTCATTCTTCAGACAAATATAACAGATCTTCGACATTGTATTTGAAAGAGCAGAATACAGTCTTGCAGTGCCTTTACCAGAACAGTCAGTCCGTGTCAGGGAAGAGGAGAGCCAAGACTTTTGGAGTGAAATGAAACTTCTTTCTTAAGTATTCAAGACTAAATACATCATCATAGAGAAAAGGAGTGTTCTTCATCTATCAGCCAGCTCTTAGATGTGAGAGCTCTGCAGGATTTGTTACTTGGTTTTGCACGGCTCTGTTATTAGTATTAATTATTATTAGTAGCATTATAATTATCAGAATTATAATTAGTAGCAGTAGTAGTATACATACATACATGCACATCATGGCTGTGAAGCAATCGACTTGTGCAATAGGGGAATACCTGAACACTTGATGCTAACTTTAATCAAAGATTAAAGATGTTGTAAGTTTGAGATTTATTCTAGCTTTTATGGTACCTGGTATTTGGAAGACTTTGGTCATTTTAAGTGGTGTATTATCTATGTAAGCATTGTTTTTCATCCAGAATGGAATTTCAGTAGTAGTCAGGAGGCTTTAAAATCAAATCCTACACTTGACATATTAGAAGAAATTACAAATTCCATAATGCATAATATTATTTTTCTAATGTATCACTGGGCCATAATGAGAAACAATCTATTCTATGGATTTTGCATTCAATCTTTTTGTCAAAAACTACATTGCACATCAAAAGTTAATAGCACTAGGGAGTTCAGTGATTAATATGAAAACAAATGGTATATTACAAATTTTCTTTTGTTCTTAATTCACAATGATGAAACTGCTAGGATTTAACCTTTAAGGGTTAAAGAGTTTAATCAATGTCAATGTCTGATCTTCTGAAGGCGATAAAGAACAGTCTGTCTAGCGATACCCAACAGAACATCACTTTGTCAAGCCACAAAGCACCCAAAAGCTTGTCAAGTAAGTTACCAGAAACCTCTTTGTGGTTAGAACTCAGCTCCTTCCTGCTTGACCTATTATTTGATATTTGACCACTTGGTTGCAAGACACTTGCTCTTTCCAGCTGAAATGTCACTGGGGCATCTTGTCAGCTCCCCGACATCTCAGCCTGACATACAATTTTACTTTTGTGTGCTACAAGGCAGAAAATGCAGGGCAATGGCCTTGCTTTAAATTCTGTCAGCATCAAAGATGGGCGTCACTCTTGGGTCCTACCAACAACAACAAAAAGGGAGTCTATCTGAAGGTCAAAACAGCCATTACTTTAAAGTCTTTCAGCTTAAACTAGATATATTACCTGCAACACTGGTTTGGGAACTGTCCTTATAAAGTACATAAACATATCATCAGAAATCCTCCCTGCACAATTGTTCGTCTTTCTGATGAAATGCAGACTTGATAAAAGGGGAGTTTTCAGCGCCTGCAGGGACCAGATTCAGCAGCTAACTCAACTTGTTCAAATAGGCAAGTGGTATCATGTAGCTTTACAAGAAGCAACCTGACCTTCTCACATTGACCAGCAGTGACATTATTGTGCAGGAAGAGAAGCAGTCACATCATTTCTGTTTTGCACAACCTGCTTAAAGTTTGCAACTAAATGCTTGTCTTCAGTTGAGCTGACAAGAGAAAAGAGGGGGCTCAGTGAACCATGGCAGGGCTGCCATGAAATGACAGGAATCATTGGCATACATTTCAAATAGCTCTCTCAATCCTATTAAAGTATTGCAGTCCTGCTTTAAAATAGACAAGTATGAAACAACTTTGATAGATAGAGACTAAAATGGCTTATTGATTTTTTTTTAAAGACTGGGGAAAATTACCCAAAATGTGTCATTCTTTAACATTTAAAAATATACTACATAAAAAATGAACTGCAATAAATAAAAGTTAAAAAAAACCAAACCTGTTTTGGTATGCAAAGAATGAGAAGCAGAAAAATGTGAACATACAAAAGCATATTTTCATAGAAACGTAAAATTAATGTCAAAAAATACATAAGCTGAACTACAATTCAAAGGTAGCAACAAAATTGCACTTTAATTGCATCATTTTACATTAATGCAATTTTTTCCTTCTAAAAGATTTTTGATACAAAGAATCTGAAAATCCATTTTCCATTGTTCTTTTGGGACTGGATGTGACATTCAGGCTGAAGGAATAGACTGAAGACTGAAAACTGGCTCTATTGTGCATAAAACTGTAGCATGTGTCAGGTTCAGCTTGCAATGCCAAAATATCTGGGATACAGCTCTGGTCAGGCTGAATTCCTAGCTTGAAGCCATGGTGATGTTTGAACTCCCTCTTGATTCCTGGAGAAAAAGAAGTAACAATTATAATAAAAAACCCTCAAACAACAACAAGAATGTACATTTACTGTTAAATGCCTTTCATAAAGGTATGAAGTATTTGCAAGTGTCTGCTTCTTGTTTCACTTAATACATAGTACTTAATATATCTGCATATATTCAGCCTTAATAAACAGGAACAATAGACATTAGCTAGAGTACTCTGCACTAGTAAGTGTTAGGAAACCCTAGCCTACTTTATTTGAAGAGCTACAAATACTTAAAGAAAACTTCTACTCCTCTTCATTGTAATTTCTAGGGCTTGAGGCTTTTTAATCAAGTAAAGAAACTTATTCTACAGTCTCCCTGTCACTGTTAGTAGGAAACATGTGCCATGCTAACCTTGGAAGGTATTAATTTGCTTTTAAGTATCTTTTATCATCAACTGAAACCAAACCCTTAATACTTTTCAAATGTCAGCCTAAGATGACCAGAGAATATACACTAAATGTATCTTGATGGAGAATATGATTCATATTGCAGTAGGTCTTGACACTCAAACACCTCTAAAATTTAGACCAGTTAAAATTCAACATTAAAGAAACTCCAGCACCAAAACATTTTGCATCCTACTTTGAATGATTATTGATATTATCAGCATAATAGCATTAGAATTTTTTGAAAATGCTAAATAAAGACACTCTGTATTCTCTTAAATATCCATAATAATAAACAAACAGGAAAACACAATGCCATATTGCTTTTCTGTCCTTTAACAAGGTATTATACCCAATGCAATATACAGCTGTGGAAGTAGCAATCACTTATTTCATCAAGTCATGAAACATATGAAAACTTCACATGCAAAGCATAATTATGAAAAAGACAAAAGTTAAATTACTGAAAGACTGTGACAGTATATTTTAGGTTTTAAATACTCTTCAGCATTTTAGGAAGACCACACAATCACAGAGGCAGAAATGCATATACGCAGAGGGACAGATTCCAATATACATATTCACAGATATGAAGAAAGATGCAGAAGGGTGTGTGTATATTCGTATTTCAACAAATCCAGACTCAATCGTATGTATAAATACACATTCATGAAATATTCCCCTTTTGTCTGTTACTATTGCTAGAGAAAAATCAATGGTCTCTAACACATACTTCAACAGTTCCCTTTGATATGGACTCTTTTGATTTTTCCCATTCACTGTAAGCCATATTACAGCTACTGTAAACAGGTAGGTTATGCTAGACCTTCATTAAGAACCCATAGAGCAGCAAATTTAGATGACTATTTCAAGTAGATAGTTAACACAAAGTAGTGCCTTGAGCTTTTCCAAATCATGGTGGTGATGAGGATGAGCTAACCAACAGAACTTGCAAGTATGATCTGAAGATTTGCTTTTCAGTCCTTCTGGCTCAACACTATGCAAAATAGGAACCACTACAATGCCAAAGCACAAATGATATTTACTGCGTTTGTATCAGCACATCTGAAATGAGATCTGAATGAGGGCATTCACCAATTACCTAGATTAATAGTGTTATTTGTACACTTTAATCAGCTGATCACATAGCCAAAATTCTCTCTAAAATAAGTCATTCATAAAAAAAATTACAGTATTGAAATATGCAAACAACTTGTTATGTTCTAAAAACACTTCTGCGTGTAAGAAAATGAAATCAGTAAGATATAAGCTATAAAAAGGTTTCAGCCTAGGTAACAAATATTGAAGACAAATTTAAACATATTGGTTTGTACTGCTTATAATATCTCAATTTATCAGCATATAACAAGTAAAAATCACATGCTACAATTACACTCATATTATATACACTTATTATATACACTCTTATATTATATACACTTACTATATACACTTACATACACTTTTTCCTGATGTATTGAGTTTTGGTGGGTTTCTTTTTTTTTTTGAAGAATATGGCATTGAAATCCCAGTAAGGAGATACAAAATCAGATTTCCTTTGAGAGTTACAAAAAAAATGTATGAAACTTAATGATTGGCAGCAAGTCAATAGACTATGTTACAGTAAAAGCTTCACTGTTGGAGGAAAAAAGCTCTGTTTATCCAGATCCTGTGCTGTACTTCTTACAAAGAACAGAATACTATTCATTGAATAGAAGGGAAATCAGATCTAATAGCAATGTGATTGATGTAAAAAAATCTTGGCTGTTACTCGTAAGAACTGTTTTGATCCAGTATCATTATATATACTCACGATGAATAATAAAATAGGATTCCATAGGTTAGAAGAACTTTGATAACACATTGTTTGAACACATACAGGAATTCACCTGCAGGAATTTTAAAGGCATTTATAATTTCCCAACAGACCTCTTTCAACATTATTGCATTTAAACACCTTTCTAAAACATGTATTAAATTGACAAACTCAAATGGCTATGCCAGAGCTGTGCTTATAATCCCTTGTATAAATATGCATTTAGGTAATTTTTAAGAGAGGAATTATGTATCTTCAATAAGTGTCTGTTCAGTAAATCTTTAGCACAGCACTTTTATTTACCTGATAAGCTGTAAATTATTCCACTTAAAATGTTACACTTCCTCAGGCAAATAGATATTTAGAACACAATATGTCTAGCAAAAATATGCTTTCAAAATATTTATGCAATATTGTTGTGGTTTAAACCCAGTCAGGCAACTCGTTCACTCTCTCCCCCACCTTCTTGCCCTCCCCCTGCTCCCGGAGGGACGGAGAGGAGAATCAAAAAGCATGCAACTCCCACAGGTTGAGATAAGAACAGTTTAGTAACTAAGGTATAACACAAATCACTACTGCTACCACCAATGATAATAATGATAAAGGAAATAACAAGGGAAGAGAATACAACACCTCAGCACCAGCCAACCGATAACTCGCCCCCCAGCCCAACCAAGCACCGACCCATACCTCCTCCAACCCCGCAGTGCCCCAGCCCTTCCGGCTAACTCCCAGTTACATCCTGGGCATGACATGCTGTGGTATGGAATACCTCTTTGGTCAGTTTGGGTCAGGTGTCCTGTCTCTACTCCTCCTGGCTTCCCCTCCTCCCTGGCAAAGCATGAGGCTCACAAAGTCCTTCACCAAACCAAAACATCATTGTTATCAGCTCTGTTCCCAGGCCGAAAATCAAAACACTGCACTGCACCAGCTACCAGGAAGGAGAAACACGACTGCTACTGCTGAACCCAGGACAAATATAACAATTGGTCATGTCCTATGGTCATTTTTCAAAGTTTGATAGTATAACTTTAAAAAACATGTTTTCCCAAAGACCAAAATATGAAAGGTTAGTCTATATTATGGAATAATTGCTTTCTAAACTATAGTTAGCTCAGGCAATTTTTTCATAACAGACATAGAAAAAGATTTCTGAAAAATTTTTTCAATGTAGTTTTTTTTTTTCCTGTAACTAATCTATGAACACATTTATGATCTAGATTAAAGGTTCTCTTAAATAAATGAACTGTTTTATAAAACTTAAAACTGATCTATAGTGGGTTGCTTTAGTATGTATGATGTTGGGAGGAAATATTATAATGCCATCATGTATTATAGCCTCACATACACTTTTATTGCAATGTCAGCCTACTCAAAAGTATCATGTTGTGATCAAAGACACCCCATTTTGCGTTATATACCAATACTTGTGGAATAATACACACAGCTAGACACTTGGAAGTAGAAGATTGTGCACATGTTATGACAGTGATGCAAACTGATAACTACATGGAGAAATTCACCATAAGAAGTGTACTGTTTATCTTCAATTGTAGGTGTAAAATCTATACCCAGAGCTCAAGCCACAAACCAGTCAGAATGCTTTCAAACCTTCAAAGCCTACACAAGGATAATTTTACTGGACCACAATTTTCATTATAATACTACACAACAACTCTTCAACTGTTCTCTACTATTTGTAAGTTACAGCAATAGGTGCTTCCAGTTTTGGGATTTGCCACCACTATTTAGGTACTTTAAACTGCCTTCAAATATTAAATTTCAAAATACAGTAGCTCAAACTTCCCTTCCAGTTTGTCATGACATGTAACATTCTATATTAGAAAAAAATCAGAATAATAAAAAATGATACGGGTTTTGCAACTTCAGGCTTCTGGGTAGTGAATAACAAGCCTGCATATATGGCTTCAACTGAAGTAGGAACATACTGAATCTGCTTAGAATCAGAACAGAAAATGACCAAGTAAGGGAAGAAATAAAAGGGCAGAAAGAATAATGCAGAAGATACAACACAATAAAGACTCAGTTATGCTGGTTTCCTGTGTGATGATACAGATGCAGTAATAAGTTTAGTGCTATATGCCAAAGTAAATTCAAGACAATTTTTGAATTATTACAAGGCCAAAGAGTGATTTGGAAATCACCAGGTTACAGGATACTTAGGTGTGTGAGGATGCCTGACAGCAAACAGAAGCATAGATGGATGAGCCAACTGTAGTTTCTTCTGAATTCTGGCAACCCCTAATCTCTGGAAAGGCTCTAGCACAACCCCTCAAGGATACGAAGAAATGTAAGGTAAGCACAGACACAGACAGCAATGAGGGGTAAGTGGGAAAGAGTCAATATATTTCTCCACAATTGATTTCTGATACTGATTTCACTCACCCCAGCTCTAGAATATGAAGTAATAACCAGTAGACAGCAAATCAAATGGCCAATAATGTTCTCTTCATCTTCAACCACCTATGCTATCATCATAGCTTGCATCATTTCGCTGTAGCAGTAGCAATTCCCCTAAGTTACAGAAACAACCATTGTCTTCGATAAACATTTTGCAGCACTTACATAGGAAACCTATTTCCCTCTAGAGAAACCTGCACATTTTCAGATCATTCACAACTCTCTTTTCAGACTGCTGTTTCCAAAACTGAGTTGCTGTTTCTCAGACAATGCCAATGGACTTCCCGTATTCTGCTCATTCTTTTGCTGTTAAAAGTAGCTCCAAGAGCTATTTCTCACTCTAAGTGAAA